GAAATGTACACAGATGTTACAAGTGTACAGGTTACAATCTTCAATTGAATCTCTTTAGGGTATATTGTTCTACGGGCTACACTCTTAAATTGAAAATCTTAAGGGTATATTGATGTGTACAAAAATGGGTTACATTCTTTTATTTTATCTATATAAGGTATTTATACGTGTGCAAAAATGGGTTGCACTCATAAATTGTATGTATCAAGTGTATATAGATGTGTACAAAAACGGGTTGCACTTTGAATTGAATCTCTCTACGGTATAAAGGTGTTTGCAAAAACGAGTGACACTCTTATATATACTAGTACAATCTTTTTTGGCTATATAGGTGTGAACAAAGACGGATTGCACTCTTAAATTGAATCAATTTAATGTATTTATATGTGCAAAAACGGGTAACACTCTTATGTAGAGTCTATGTTGGCCATGAAGGTGTGTACAAAAACGGGTTGCCCTCTTAAATTTAATCTCTTTAGGGTTTATATGTATGTACAAAAACGGGTTACACTCTAAAATTGAGTCTATGTTGGCCATGAAGGTGTGTACAAAAACGGGTTGGCCTCTTAAATTTAATCTATTTAGGGTTTATATGTATGTACAAAAACGGGTAACACTCTAAAATTGAGTCTATGTTGGCCATGAAGGTGTGTACAAAAACGGGTTACACTCTAATAAACAATCTTTTTTGGCTATATAGGTGTGTACAAAAACGGGTTGCACTCTTAAATTGAATCAATTTAATGTATTTATATGTGCAAAAACGGGTTACACTCTTATGTAGAGTCTATAGTGGCCATGAAGGTGTGTACAAAAACGGGTTGCCCTCTTAAATTTAATCTCTTAAGGGTTTATATGTATGTACAAAAACGGGTTACACTCTAAAATTGAGTCTATGTTGGCCATAAAGGTGTGTACAAAAACGGTTTGCCCTCTTAAATTTAATCTCTTTAGGGTTTATATGTATGTACAAAAACGGGTAACACTCTAAAATTGAGTCTATGTTGGCCATGAAGGTGTGTACAAAAACGGGTTGCAATATTAAATTGTATGTATCAAGTGTATATAGATGTGTACAAAAACAGCTTGCACTCTTTTATTGAATCTCTTTACGGTATAAAGGTGTGTACAAAAACAGGTTGCACTCTTAAATTGAATCAATGTAATGAATTTGTGTGTGTGCAAAAATGGGTTACCCTCTTACGTAGACCCTTATCTGGCCATGTAGATGTGTACAAAAACGGGTTGCACTCTGAAATTGAATCCATTTAACGTTTGCATGTTTGTGCAAAAACGGGTTGCACTCTGAAATTGAATCCATTTAACGTTTGCATGTTTGTGCAAAAACGGGTTGCACTCTTAAATTGAATCGATTCAATGTATTTATGTGTGCAAAAACGGGTTACACTCTTACGTAGAGTCTATTTTGGCCATGTAGGTGTGTACAATAACGGGTTGCACTCTGAAATTGAATCCATTTGATGTGTGTGTGTGTATGTACAAAAACGGGTTACACTCTTAATAAAATATCTTTGGGGTATATAGGTGTGTGCAAAAACGGGTTACAGTCTTATGTTTTATATATAATCTATATAAGGTGTCTGTACGTGTGCAAAAACGGGTTGCATTCTTAAAATGCATATGTCAAGTGAATATAGATGTGTACAAAAACGGGTTACACTGTTAAATTATTTGTTTTTAGAGGATATAGTTGTTTGCAAAAACGGGTAACACTCTTATAAAGAATCTAATCCGGCTATATAGATGCGTACAAAAAAGGGTTGCACTCTTAAAAATGAAGCCATTCAAGGTATATATGTATGTGCAAAAACGGGTTACATTCTTAGATCTTAGATACAGGTGTGTACAAAAACGGGTTGCACTCTTAAATTGAATTGATTCAATGTATTTGTGTGCAAAAACGGGTTACACTCTTACGTAGACCCTTATCTGTCCATGTAGATGTGTACAAAAACGGGTTGCACCCTGAAATTGAATCCATCGAACGTTTGCATGTTTGTGCAAAAACGGGTTACACTCTTAATTGAATCTCTTTCGGGTAAATAGGTGTGTGCAAAAACGGGTTACAGTCCTATGTCTGATATGCAATACTTTTGGGCTATATAGGTGTGTACAAAAACGGGTTGCATTCTTAATAGAATATCTTCGGAGGGGTATATAGGTGTGTGCAGAAACGGGTTACAATCTTATCTCTTATACATATCATTGTTTGGCTATATAGGTGGGTACAAGAACGGGTTGCACTCTTAAATTTCATCTATATAAGGTGTCTGTACGTGTGCAAAAACGGGTTGCATTCTTAAAGTGCATATGTCAAGTGAATATAGATGTGTACAAAAACGGGTTACACTGTTAAATTATTTGTTTTTAGAGTATATAGTTGTTTGCAAAAACGGGTAAAGTAGAACACTCTTATAAAGAATCTAATCCGGCTATATAGATGCGTACAAAAAAGGGTTGCACTCTTAAAAATGAAGCCATTCAAGGTATATATGTATGTGCAAAAACGGGTAACATTTTTAGATCTTAGATACAGGTGTGTACAAAAACGGGTTGCACTCTTAAATTGAATCGATTCAATGTATTTATGTGTGCAAAAACGGGTTACACTCTTACGTAGACCCTTATCTGGCCATGTAGATGTGTACAAAAACGGGTTGCACCCTGAAATTGAATCCATTTAACGTTTGCATGTTTGTGCAAAAACGATTTACACTTTTAATTGAATCTCTTTCGGGTAAATAGGTGTGTGCAAAAACGGGTTACAGTCCTATGTCTGATATGCAATCTTTTTGGGCTATATAGGTGTGTACAAAAACGGGTTGCACTCTAAAATTGAATCGATTCAATGTATTAATGTGTGTGCAAAAACGGGTTACACTCTTACGTAGAGTCTACTTTGGCCATGTAGGTGTGTACAATAACGGGTTGCACTCTGGAATTGAACCCATTTAACGTATGTGTGTATGTACAAAAACGGGTTGCATTCTTAATAGAATATCTTTGGAGGGGTATATAGGTGTGTGCAAAAACGGGTTACAGTCTTATCTCTTATACATAATCATTTTTAGGCTATATAGGTGGGTACAAGAACGGGTTGCACTCTTAAATTTCATCTATATAAGGTGTCTGTACGTGTGCAAAAACGGGTTGCATTCTTAAAGTGCATATATCAAGTGAATATAGATATGAACAAAAACGGGTTACACTGTTAAATTATTTGTATTTAGAGTATATAGTTGTTTGCAAAAACGGGTAACACTCTTATAAAGAATCTAATCAGGCTATATAGATGCGTACAAAAAAGGATTGCACTCTTAAAATGAAACCATTCAAGGTATATATGTATTTGCAAAAACGGGGTTCACTCTTAAATTTATTCTAATTAACGTGCTTATATATGTACAAAAACAGGTTGCATTCTTAAACTTAATCTATATACGGTATAGATGTGTACAAAAGCGGGTTGCACTGTTGAATTGAATCTCTTCTGTATAAAGGTGTGTACAAAAACGGGTTACACTCTTAAATTTAATCCATATAAGGTATTTATACTTGTGTAATAACGGGTTGCACTCTTAAATTGCCTGCTTCAAGTATATATAGATGTGTACAAAACAGGTTACACTGTTAAATTAATTGTTTTTAGGGTATGTAGGTGTGTGCAAAAACGGGTAACAGTCTTATAAAGAATTTATTGTGGCCATATAGATACGTACAAAAACGGGCTGCACTCTTAAAATGAAGCCATTCAAGGTGTAAATGTGTATGCAAAAACGGGTTACACTCTTTAATTTTTTCTAATTAACGTGTTTATGTATGTACTAGAACAGGTTGCATTCTTAAATCTAATCTAATTATGGTATTTAAAAGTGTGCAAAAACGGGTTGCACTCTTGAATTGAATCTCTTTACGGTATAAATGTGTGTGCATAAACGGGTTACCTTCTTACTTGGCTACATAGGTGTGTACAAAAACAAGTTGCACTCTTAAATTGAATCAATGCAATGAATTTATGTGTGCGAAAACGGGTTACACTCTTAAGTAGACCCTTTTTTTGGTCATGTAGATGTGTACAAAAACGGGTTGCACTCTGAAATTGAATCCATTTAACGTATGTATGTTTGTGCAAAAACGGTTACACTCTAAATTGAATCTCTTTGGGATATATGGGTGTGTGCAAAAACGGGTTACAGTCCTATGTCTGATGTACAATCTTTTTTGGCTATATAGTTGTGTACAAAAACGGGTTGCACTCTTTAATTGAATCAATTCTATGTATTTATGTGTGCAAAAACTGGTTACATTCTTACGTAGAGTCTATTTTGGTCATGTAGGTGTGCACAATAACGGGTTGCACCCATTTAACATATGTATGTATGTATGTACAAAAACGGGTTACACTCTTAATTGAATCTCTACTGGGTATATAGGTGTGTGCAAAAACGGGTTGCACTCTTTTAGTGCATATATCAAGTGTATATAGATGTGTACAAAAACGGGTTACACTGTTATATTAACTGTTTTAGAGTATATATCTGTGTGCAAAAACGGGTTGCACTCTTAAATTGTATATATCAAGTGTATATAGATGTGTACAAAAACGGGTTGCACTCTAATATAGACTCTTTTTTGAGTATACAGGCGTGTACAAAAACGGGTTACACTCTTAAACGGAATCCATTAGGGTATGTAGGTGTGTGCTAAAACGGGTTGCACTCTTATATAGGATTTATTTTGGGTATATATGCATGTGCATAAATGGGTTGCACTCTAGTATTTGATATGTCAAGTGTATAAAGACGTCTACAAAAAACAGGTTGCACTCTTCAATTGACTCTAGGCAGAAATGAGTTATGACCAGTTTGGGGTAGAACAACATTTGTTGAATAGCTGGAAACAATAATTTTTTAAAGATACTTGGTATTTTACGAAATATTGTAATTTATATGATATCATCATAAAAAACAAAAATTACATTTTAAACTTTTATTGGTATAATTATATAAACTAGAAATTATTCTATAGTTTTGAATAATAAAATAAACAAAATATAAAGTTATCATTCATCTATGTATGAAATATATAATAAATGATATAAAAACTATAAAATAACTATAAAACAATAATCGGTTGCCATGGCAACAAAAATATAAAAAAAATACTTCAAATACATCATTATTGCATTTGACATGATTAATTCATCACCAAATTAATGTATTTAAAGACAACCAGATTTAAGACCTTTCAGAAAAAGAAAAAAATAGATTTTTCATTCTTCCCTTAAAAATGTTTTAAATAACAGAATATAAACTTAAGTCTTAAATTCTCAGAATGTCAGTAAGTTTTCTGTGATTAAGGTGAATATCATTACTTGGTTTATACAAATTTATTTTAGTTTGATTGTGTTGGAAGCTATAAGCTTATTGAAACACTCTCGAATCCGTTCCTGGAACCAACCAGTACTAAGCAATGAATGTAAAGTTTCTTGCTCAAGGAAACAACGACTTGACCCTGACAGAATTTGAACCCACGCGGTCAGCAATCCTTAGATTACTAGGCCGACGCGTTAACCACTGGGCCACGCCGCCACTTAAATAAAAATATCATTACTTAAGTAAGTCCTCAATAAAACTCATAGCTGTAACATGGTGGCATATACATTATTAATACGATGCAAAACATATACATTCCTTATTGCAATGATTACAAAAAAGTGTATATTTTGGTTGCCGTGGTAACAAAAATGATGCCAAAACAAGATTGCATTTGTAAAAAATGCCAAGCCACGACACTAAATATTAATGTAGGAACACAATTTTTTTGTGTCTATACAGATTGCCATAATGCATTGATCACTTACCTATCTAATTGTTATTATCAGAATAGTACCTTCAGACAAGTAGATTTTAAATTTTTTACTTTATGACACAGTGACTGAAAATCAATGATCCCCAGGGGCAGGGCCAATTTTGACCTCAGGGCTATAATTTGAACAATCTTGCTAGAGGTTAAGAAGTGCAGAGTACCAGTTTTTGTGCACTGCACTTCTTCTTAATGAGATCTATCATCCTATGAAGTTTCAAGTCCATAGACTTTATACTTTAGGAGAAATGGCCCGGACAAAAATAAAGTATGAAAATTAACTAAGGGCAATAACTCTAAAAATAAGAAATGCAGAGTACCAGTTCTTGTGCATTGCACTTCGGGTCATTATAAGAAGCATGCATACTAAGTTTGAAGTCAATTACTTATAATACTTATAATGACTGACTTATGCTCCGGACAAGCTTAAGGGGACACCGCACCGACACCGCCGACAAAAGTAACCCCTATATGTCCCCTTTTTCAAGGCGACACAAAAAATTATGATCCCCAGGGCGGGGCTTATTTTGACACTAGAGGCAAAATTTGAAAACTTTGGTAGAGTACATATAGATGATATCATATACCAAACGCCTTGTACTTTCAGACAAGAAGGTTTTTTAAGTTTTTACTATATGTACATATAGTGAAAATCAATGACCCCTGGGGCGGGCCAATTTTGACCCCAGGGCTATAATTTGAACAATCTTGGTAGAGGTCTACCAGACAATGCCTTATGCAAAATATCTATGCTCTAGGCCTTGTGGGTCTTTACAAGAAGATTTTTAAATTTATCCTTATAATTCCTTTTGGTTGCCATGGCAAGCAGATTTCTGCATGGAATGAAATTCTTTGAACAACTTGTCAAGTTTGGTTGAAATTGGACTATTGGTTTTTCACAAGAAGATTTTTTAAGTTCACTATATAATCTATATAACACACACACAGATGAATCGCTATATGCCACCGCATCACAGATGCTGCGGTGGCATAAAAACTGTATAATTAAAAATAATAATGGCATTTCATAGAAGTAAACCATATTAAATATCTCTATTCACAATAACCTTAAAGGTCTTTCAGAGTTTACACTATTTTCCTGACTATATTTTCAGTTACAGATATTGACTGTGTAATCATATTCAGTCTTTTTTAAACTGTATAATATGAATAAATTAACATATAAGTATATTCTTTAATTGAAATAATTTCTATAAACAATTATTAAATATAGACGAACAGAATCCCCAAAGAATGCCAAGAACAACAAAATTGACAATGTGTCAGGCTCGGTTTTATTGAGTTTGTTCATGGACGGTAATGGAAAGTGTAAGTTACCACCCAACCCCCTAGCACCTGCTTAAGCGGAATTCAACATTTAAATATGAGAACAGTGAAATTTTGAATTTAGAAACATCTACAGATATTAAAACCATATTCTTGCAAACACATGGAAAATCACAAATGACAGCTAACTTATGTCTTTGTACTTGGCAACCTAGTCTTGCAAAGTTCTCATCCAGTTTGTGGGTTTGAGCCAAACAAGGTAACATCAATCATGTTTACTCTTATGCCTCCAGTTATTGAGTAGAAAGTGATTTATAAACTTGCAAAACTTGTTTAACAATCAAGTAAAAATACTATTGAATCTGCCACTGCAGTATTCAGCTTTTTCACTAATTCACTTTTGGCATACTGTCAAACATAGACAAGTCATTGACTTCTCACATGCCATCCTGAAAAAAAAATCTGGAATAAGTCTTAATGAAACAATGAATTGTATATGATGATTTGACTGAACAGATATAAAGTACATTGTTGTATGATATTGCACAGCTATTAGGTTCATATAAGTTCTTGTGTAATATATTAAAGTCTATATATCATGTAGCATTTAGCATGATCAAAATAATCTAAATCTACATTATATACATGTATTGTGATGATGACACCTCATTTTTTATTTCATCAAATAAAGGAAATTTAATATGGAATACTGAATAAATATAGATATGATAAAATCATTACATACTTACCCAAATGAATTTTTTTTTATCTTGACCAATACTGTACAGATAATACAAATTGATCCTCTTTTTACTGCTCAATAGAACATAGATGTCACACATTTTGCCTCATTTCCAACAATAGTTTAGTACATTCACCAGCAAATAGATAAAATATCTATGTGTCCTGAAAATTATGTATACAGTATATACTTTAATATTAACATTATTTTCAATACATATAAAATGAAAGAGTATTTTGAATATATCACAATGCAGCATTATTTCTTAATTTTAACATAAAATTTAGTTCCTTTTACTACAGTAGGCCTGCAGAGTTTTTAAATTTTAAAACAATAGTTTTAAGATCTCTTTTTTTTTTTTTTTTTTTTCAGGCCCCAACTGGGTAACCCCATTTATTTCAAATGTTTTAACATTTATACATATAATAGTACATATTTATAGATATAATAGTACCTCATTACATCAGAATATTAAAATAATTACTAAATTTGAGTATAAAGCTATATTTTTGCTGCCTGTTATTGAAAAAAAATATATATATATATAATATATATATATATATATATGAAGAGGTATAAGTTACCATGAATTTTTGTCAATATACTATAGATGTGTATGTATGGGGGGAAATCAGTATAATTTTATACATTTTAATAAAGATATTTCAACACAAATAGCTTTATACCCTTCGAGTAAGTACATTATAATAAAACCATATGTACAATGTAAGAACATTAATTAAGAATGGTATTATCAGGTTAAAATTATTTATCTTATTCAGTATGTCAGTGTAGTTTATTCAATTAAAGATCTTACTAATTGCCATCTATTATTTTCATCTTCTGTCAAGTTTGTATCTTTATAAATATTCCATGCTAATTTAAGACTATTTTTAAAACCAATACATGTGGGTAGCACCTTTTTTCTCTTTGACAAATAAATATATCTTTTTAGTTCTAAAAACAAAATGTCATATTTAAAATCTTTAGATTCTGAACCTAAAATAACTGATTTACAGTTGAAACATTCTTCAAAATTATGTATGTTATCTTTCAGATATTGAAAAAGGCCTTGAATCTTGTGACATTCCCAAAACAAATGCAAAAGTGTTTCTTCATAACAATTACAAAAAGTACACATTTTATTGTTCACAATTTTCATTTTAAACAGAAGTGAATTTGTAGCAATAATTCTATGAATAATTCTTGTTTGGAACCACTGAATGTATGAATCTTTTGTACAATGGAAAACATAACTATAAATTAAATGCCAATTAATGTGATCACCTATAAAGCATGTGTTCCACTTTTCTTGACTTGTTGGTAAATCTGAATTCTTAACTAAAGTTTCATATACATATTTCTTATTACTATTCATGAACAAAATAGGTTTTATATAACAACTTATAATAGGGTATTGAACATTAAACAAGTTATTACAAATCATCATATTTAGCGTTTGCATATAAAATTTAATTGCCTGTTTTAAACTATGATATTGTAAAAAATTCACTTGTTTACATGTTACCTGTTCTAAATAATTCAAATCTACAAAATTACCCTGTTCATTAATAATATCTTTCACAAATCTGATGCCTTTATCATACAATATCTGAATGAATATATATCTGTTCCCAGATAAAAAATTATGATTGTAAAAAAGTGGCATATGTAATACTTGCTCTATATTATCTATAGAAAGTTTTTCAATAAACATCATATAAGCCTTTAAAACATCAATCCAGAAAGCATTTTTAATCTTACTGATAATTACTTTACAAAACATTTTACCTGTGTTAAAAACTTTACCAATATCAAACAATGTATTCACTAGCTTATAACATTTACTGCTGCTATTACTAACACACCTTCTAAACCATTTTATCTTTAAACTATGAACATAACTATTAATGTCAGTCATATTTAAACCACCTTCTTTGTATGTTTTAGTAATTACTGATTGTTTTATTTTTGCCTTGCCCTCCCATATAAAATCATAAAATAAGTCATTCAATGTCTTCAAATAAACAGTACTAGGTGTTGGTAAACTTGTAAAACAATGGGTAAATAATGGAAGCAATATTGATTTAACAACAGTAATTTTTCCAATTGGAGTTAACATTCTCTTTTTCCAGTGGCTAATACTATTTCTTACTTTCTGTAGTTTTTCATTAAAGTTTAAGTTAATCATTTTTTCTAAATCAACATCGAATACTAAACCTAACAATTTAAACTGTGTATCACCCCATGTTAGTTTCCATCTTGTCTTAATTGATCTAGTACTATATTTTAAAGAGCCTATCCAGATAACTTTGGTTTTGTCAAAATTTATTTTTAATCCGGAAATTTCTGAAAATGTATTTAACAAGTTTAAAGAAGCATTTAGTGATTTTTCTGAACCATCTAATAAAAGTGATGTATCATCTGCAAATTGTGAAATTTTATATTCCTCACCGTCTATTGTAATACCTTTAATATCTTTACTTTGCCTAATTTTTATAGCTAATATTTCTGCACATAAAATGAAGATATATGGGGAAATTGGATCCCCTTGTCTACAGCCTCGTTCAACTTTAAAAAAATTAGATAAAAACCCATTTAAAATAACACAAGTTTCTGTATTATATAGAAACAAAGATATCCATTTTTTAAGCATAGGACCAAAATGAAAAGATGAAAGACATTTCTCAATAAATGTAAAAGATAAAGTATCAAATGCTTTTTCAAAATCTATCATCATTGCTAAACCTGGTATATTATTATCTTCTGTAAATTTCATTATGTCATATAATAATCTAGTATTTTCTCCTATATATCTATTCTTTATAAATCCTGTCTGATCCTTTGAAACTAAAATATCTAGAACACCTTTTAATCTGTTTGCTATACTACCTGATGCTAATTTGTAGACTACATTTAATAAAGTTATTGGTCTCCAATTTTTCAAAAAATGTTTCTGCTTGTTTTCTTTTGGAATACATGTTATTATACCAAGTTTTTGATTTCTACCAAAAGTATTATTTCTGTAAGCAAAATTTATAGCTCTAACAACAAAATGACCAATTCTACTCCAAAAGGTTTTAAAGAAGTTAGCCGTAAATCCATCGCAACCTGGGCTTTTATCATTCTTCATATTTTTCAATGTAAAAGAAACTTCATCATATGTAAGAACACCTTCTAGTTTTAACATTTCATCATGAGTCAGAGTAGTAATATCACAATTTCCTAATTCTCTATCAATAACAGATTCATCAGTCAAGTTCTATTTTTTATATAGATTTTCATAAAAACAACAAGTATGTGTGAGTATATCTTTTTGATCATAAATAAATGTTCCGTTATCCATTTCTAAAAAAGGAATATTTTTTTCAGCACAGTATTTTTTTTCTAAATTCAAAAAAAAATTAGAAGGTTTTTCCCCAGATTCAATCCATTGTGACCTTGACCTAATCATAGAACCTTTTATTTTATTATGTCTTATCTGATTTAATTCATTTTGTAAATGTAAGAGTCTGTCTTTATTATCAATTGTCAAATTTTGTTCTATGAGTGATATTTCCTCCATTATTTGTTTTTCATAATTATTTTTCTCTTTAACCTTATAGGAGCTATATGAAATAGTTTTACCTCTTATTTCCATCAAAAGTGTTTCTAAAAATAGTTCATCATTGATTGTAAAGTTAATGTCTTTATTTTTTGTATCTATTATATAGTCTATATTATAAACTGGTATACAATATTGAAGTTTTATTTCATCAATTTTTTCATTTATAATTTTTAAATATTCAATATCATGTAATAAAGCATTGTTAAATTTCCACAAACCTTTACCATGACAAATATGAGAAAAACAAATATCTAAAAATATTATTGAATGATCTGATTTATAACTCACATCAATATCACATTTTCTTACATACTGATACAAATCATTTGATAAAAGAAAAAAATCTAATCTCCCCTGTTGTATAGGATTTGTACGCCTCCATGTAAATTTTTTAATTTCGCCATGTAATTCTCTAAAAGGGTCAATAAGATCTTTATCTTTAATAATATCCAATAAAAAATTTCTGGCTTTTATATTATTAGTTTTGGATTTATAATTATGATAATCTAGATCTGGGTCTTGAACCAGGTTATAATCTCCACAAATTATAAGTGAGTTATTGTCTTCAAGTGAGTCTACAGTATCAAAAATACTTTTAAAAAAGCTTGGACTATCTGTATTTGGAGCATATATATTAACTAACGTTAAGTATCTAGTTTCAAAAAGCATTTGTAAAATAATGAAACTTCCAAAATTGTCAGTGTTAATTGACTTGATTTTGATATTTAAATTTTTTCTGAATAAAACTGCAACACCCTTAGCATTAGATTTTCCATGGCTAAAAAACATAAACCATTCCATTCAGAGTAGACTTTTTTCAACATCTTTACAAAATGCGTTTCTTGTAGACAAAGTATATCAGCTTTTTTTGTATTGAATAAATTGAAAACATCACGCCTCTTCATGCTATCATTCAAACCACGACAATTGTAAGAAAAAATTTTAAGATTAGACATTGAAATTAAGAACCAAAATACATTTTTCGTTATTTATCCAGTTTCCTTTATAACTACAGCTGATTAAAATAGATTTATAAACCCAGTTAGATGACATAAAGCACACTGAAAGGTTCAGTAGCAAACAAACAAGTGTAGACATAGAGAAAAAAATAAAAAACCTGTATAACATAATAAACAATCTGAGAAATATATTATAAAAAAGAAAAGTATAGTTTACAAAGCTATACATGAAAAGAATGAACAAAAATATGAACAGAAAATAAACTGTATAAACAATAAGTAACAACATAACTGTACAGCTATTTATGAATGCAATTCTGTTGTTTTATCAAAATCTTTTTAGGATTTTTCTCAATTAATTTTACAATTGTGCCAAACAACAAAGAATAATCATTCTAATTATAATTTGTACCATTTCATACACATACAACTCATTCTTCAAAAGATTTGCTGCCGTTTAAGAAAAAATAACATAAATTCCAAATGCCATAATGTTCTACAAGTGATTTAAAAAATGATTAATGTTTGTATAATTTCTTGTCAAAGTATAATACTATTATTGTTTTCATTGAAGAAAAAAAAATAGTAGAAAAACTATAACTTTAATTTACAGTTTTAAGATCTCATGATCATCTCTAAAAATGTTAAATTGATAACAAGTTAAATTTGTTTTCAACTGCAATTCAGGAAATCTATCATTATCATTATTTGATAAAAAGAGTTGAGAATGGTCAGTTCATGATGATTATTAACATATGTATACAATCATAGTAAATTATCTGCTCTTTTAAAGTAAAACAGGTATAAAAACTTACCTATCATTGTGGTCTTGAAGAATATGGCTCCAACATGTGGATGGTTATCTATTTAAAATTCAAAAACTTTTAAAACTGTAATGAACTATGTTGAGAATCTTCACTGTAACTATGTTGGATGACCTAAAATCACAAAAAAAACAACACAAAATATTTCATCAGCAAAAAAAGTCTGGATCATAAATGATAAAAATATCCTTGTACAATATATGGTAATGGTATTCATGAGTACTGGGAATATAATATGATTTATTATGGAACTTCATAAATTATAGGATTATATTAATAAATGTGTTGCAATATTTATATAGTGATGACACCTTCTTTGGGTATTGTATTTCAAAAACAGCCTATTTATTGTATTATTTCAAAAGCAGCATACTGTACAGGGGTATTAAACATATTTTACCAATCTTAAATTGTAATACAAACTTATGTGTCAACAATTACAGTACAGTAGTGTAGCCTTGAAATTTAATACCTATAAATTTTATTGGTAGTATATGACAAGGCTACAGTACTGTACTGTAACTGTTGACAAATGAGGTTGTATAACAATTTTATTGAAAATAGATTGCAAAAATATTCTTGTGTCTAGTTACATTTTTGCATTTTTGTCTCATACTGTAGAGTGGTTGGACCAATGCTCGGCGCATACCAATGCTCGGCGTAAAAAATATCTTATTTAGAATATCTGAAAATGTGTTGAGTTATCTCCGATTTAGGCCACTGGTGCTTTTATTTACATCTTTCACCATTTTATAATTTTATAGCTGCGGTCTCACTTACTCCCGGCAGAGCCCAGGACCATCCCAGTAAGTTACTGGGATGATCCGGGGTGAAATTATTGTTGCGGTCACACTTACCCCGGCAGCACTACGGTAGTTCCCAACTAACCACCCAGGATGCGCTCTGGATCATCCAGGCAGAGCCCAGGTGAAGCTACGATTCATGCCGGAGCTTCCCCGGTTGTTGCCGGATGACGCTGGAAGAGCCTCGGTTGACCCAGGCAGAGCCCTGGTTGATCCAGGCAGAGCCCAGGTCGATCCAGGCAGAGCCCCGGTAGAACCCTGGTGGATTGAAAACACCTGAAAATGATAACATTGATACATAATTTTTATTAAATATAATATCTATTGTTCCAGAATAGTAATTCATGACGATTTTCTGAAAAATCTTATGCAATACTGGATAGAAGGGAAATGGGAAGGGTTTTATACAAACAAGTGCAATCATCGCAAATTGTCGTTATTCTTTTGAAATGATCCGGGCTTTGCCGGGGCTCTACCGGCATCAGCTGTAGCTCTACCTTTATCCTCCAGGGCTTGCCTGGATCGACCGGGGCTCTGCCGGCATATACCGGGGCTCTACGGACTTATCATACCCCAGATGATCCCCGGTTTGTGCCGGCAGAGCTATGGTGCTTCCCCGGTATAACCCCGGTCGTTCCCGGCAGAGCTAAGGATGAAGCCAGCAAAGCTATACCTTCCCGGATCATCCCGGTGATATTAAATATTTTATTTCATCCGGGGTCGAATGCCGGGTGTTCCCGGATCATCCCGGACGTTGCCGACAGAGTAACGGATGTACTCCGGTTGTTCCCGGTCGTACCCTAGGGCTCTGCCGAGATGTTAGTGAGACTGTAGCTTATCCTGGTGTGGTTCACTGCTGGTAAAGTCACGTGACAATGCAAATAGCAGACGAACAACCGTATCATATAAATTATTAAAATATTTTAACACTAGAGTTCTGGGGCTGTAAAATTTAAACTAAAAGTTGGGTAGAGTCTACTTGTAAATGTACGAACCTAATTTGTTTGTTACATAAATACAATTTATTCAATATGTTTTCTTCATAAGATAAAAAAGAGATTTTATTCGAAAAACAATCCTGCATCATGTAGTATTGTACGCCGAACTATGGTAAAATTTCAGCAAACCACTCTTTGTTTATCATGCACATCATTAGATGTGATTAGCGAATTTTACACAATGGCTATCTAAAACAATATCATCGGTCTTGAAAATGGACATATAACATTGAGGTTTGTTGACGTTGATTTGAATTTGCCATATCAAATATAGTATTTTTACGCCGAGCGTTGGTCCACCCACTCTAGTAAAATTAGCTTTTGTTTTATCACTTGTTTAATATTTACATTGCAGCCTGGACTTTACCAGTGATTTATTTATTTTGCAATTAATGGAATCAATTGAAAAAGTTAACAATTTTTCTATGAAGACCATCCTGTACAGGAAAGTCCAGGAAACATTGTAGCCTAAAAATTCATATCTGCCATGACCTGACCTAGACTCCTGCCATGTTAAATGTTTTTTTTTTTTTTATAAAAGCAGTAAGATAAAAAATCATAAAAAAATAATCAATTTATAAAATACAAGTCATATTCGGTATCTCCTGTCCGCCACGGATATGACTTTTATAGAACGTAATTCGAATATAACTTAAAACTTTTTTATTTATGGACCAAATTTAACGAACTTTTGCATGTAAATTCATTTTATTATTATAAAACATCGTATCAAGAAAAAATAATAAAAAACTAATTACTTTGTAAAATATAAGTCATATCCGGTATTTAAAGTCATATCCGCGGTATTAAGACATACCGGATAAAATGGTAAGATTCAAACGCTATTCAAAATATTATAAAAGATAACCAACAAAAATAGCATAAATATTAACGGATTCACTTACCTTAATATCTTTATAACTGTTTAAAACCTCCAAATTTGCAGTTAACTAATGTCCCAAAACAGAACCCAAAGAGTGAAGGATAAAACTCTAAATTGCAAGTCGTTTCTTCGTAGACACTAAATAGTAAACCGAAATGAAGCGGAGTTATGCCAACCGGACTACTTTACAAAACCGCACTGCGCTGTTATGAGCAGAAACGGTGTGCATTTCAGCCGCTCCGTTCTTTTTTTTGCCAACGCCTTTGTGTCTCGGTGCCTCCTGGGTGCTCTGCTGGTTTGACTGGGTTGTTGGGGGTTGTTTTGGTCTGTGAACGTCGCCTCGCTTTGTTGATCTTTATTTTTCATTTTTAATACTAATCGAAAGGGCATTGCACTATTTCTTTACATTAACATAACCAATGACGATTTGACAACAAGAGCACTGCTAGACAGGAGCATTATATGCCCGAAAAGTGTTTTTTTTAGTAAGGATCATCATACAGAAAGACGCCAGGGGTATCACATAATATAGGCAAATTTTTTCAGGCATATAATAAATGTACTCGATATAAGTGATCATCCTATGAAATAGAAAAAAACAGAATCCCTCAAGAAAGCCCAACACGTCAAAATTGAAAATGTTGCAGGCTCGGTTTGATTGAGCCTGTTCATGGACGGTACTGGAATGTACAAGTTACCGTCCACGCCCCCTAGCACCGGCTTAAGCAGAATTCAACATTTAACACGAAAATGGTGAAATTTTGAATTTAGAAACATCCGCAGATGTATGAAGTTTGACAGTTGTAAAACTTTAAACAATATAAAGGTCATTTGATATTGACCATTGACCTTGTGACCCAAAATAGATTTTTTATTCAATATAGGCAATCATCCTATGAAGTTTGAACACTGTAAGCCAAATGGAACTTGTGTTATGTCTAGAAACCGCAATTTTTAGTGTTAAGGTCTTTGTGACCCTGACCTTTGTATGTATTGGATATGGCTGTTCATTTTTTAAAATATTACAGCTGTAGGTTGATTAATACTAAAGTTATTGAGCGAAAACCGTTTTCAGTATTAAGGTAACATTGACCTTTGACCTTGTGACCCAAAAATTAATAGGGGTCTTCTACACAATATTTACAATCATCCTATGAAGATTGAACACTGTGGGCCAAATGGAACTTCAGTTATGCTCCAAAAACCACAATTTTCAGTGTAAAGATCATTGTGACCATGACCTTTGACCTTGTGACCCTAAAATCAATAGGGGTCATGTATGGGACATGGCTGTTCATTCCATAAAATTGTACAGCTGTAGGTTGATTAATACTTAAGTTGTTGAGCGTATACTGTTTTCAGTTTTAAGGTGAAAGTGACCTTGATCTTTGACCTTGTGACTCCAAAATCAATAAGAGTCTTTCACTCAATGTGGATAATCATCTTATGAAGTTTGAATAATGTGGGCCAAATGGAACTAAAATAGAGAAAGCAAGAATCCCTAAAGAAAGTCCAACACAACATAATTGAAAATGTTGCAGGCTCGGTTTGATTGAGCCTGTTCATGGACGGTACTGGAAAGTGCAAGTTACCGTCCACGCCCCCTAGCACCGGCTTAAGCAGAATTCAACATTTAAACATGAAATGGTGAAATTTAGAATTTAGGAACATCCGCAGATGTGTTCATACGGCGGTTATCATGGAACCTTCAACGTGACACTCCCGTGCCATTCCATGAAAAGCGGCGTATGGTCTCCAAGTAATAGAAAGCGTGTGCCCTAAACGAGAAAACAATGGGCGGAACTAAATAAAATGGAATTTTGAAAGGGGATCAGAGGTTATGAAGCCTGCATATCACAGATAAGACTTCAAAAGACAAAGTTAAAAAACAGGCAACATATCCTAAGGGTGATTCAACATTATTCAAGTAGGAATATTGGAACCACCCAACTAGAAAATGCCGAAAAGTTAAAACTAAAAATACCACAAGCACAACAATAGTGTCGTGCTGAACGATCTTAAAAGATCGGAAATATAACATCTCTGATTGATGTTAAGGTTATGCTTCGGAAACCTACTAACGAACGGCCGGGTGGACGGACAGACAGACGGACGGAGCCAGGGGTTATAACATAAAATGACCGAAATTCTTTCGGGCATATAATAAAAAAACATTAATTTTCCTTCATTAACACAACTCATACGGCTGTAGCTTACGGATGGAACATAAATGTTTGAGTGTCATTTAGAAATGTTGGCAATTCATATTTTCGTATTTGTGACAAAGCTTCTAGTCCCAATGAAAGTTTCTCATTATTATGATGCATCTCGTTAAAGTCATTTAAGCAAAATACTAAGAACGGAAATATTTGTAAATTATTGCATTCCTTAACAGACAGGATTTAAGCTTCTTCCCCTTTGAGTGATATGTTCTGACATTTATAATCGAATAATTAATATAGAAACAAACCAATGTCATTGATGCAAATCATTTAAATAAGACAATTTGGATATGGAAAAAGGGCAGAGAAATAAACAAAGATTAATGCTTTTTTTGCATGTGTTTAAACAGTAGCATGTTGCGTACTTATAAAACTACATTTAATACAATACGAAATGTAATAAATTTATAGTTTCCTTAATCTTAGAAATGTATCATTTGTCTTGAGTATAGCTAAAAGAATAATGGAAGAATACCATCTTTTGATTGACTAAATCAAGGAGAAGATCATTGTTTTAGAACCATATATCTCTTGAATTCATGAATTTAACCTAGGGGTAATTACCCTTTGCGATTTTTCACATTCATCTCAAGAGCAAAACTGAGAAAGTACATTGTCGGTAACAAATTGAAATTTTATGAATTAAAGAAATATACGTTTCTCTAGAACTATATTGTTCGGACAATTTTGAGAATTTTATTGCTTTTTTACTTGTTCAGACTTGTTATTACACTTTGCGATTTTTGACATTGAAATTTTCTCTAGTGCATATCTTGAACTATACATGTCTTACATTGTAGGACCTAATGATTTCATTATTATGTTTTATCTATTATAATGTTATATGTTTATTCTTCTTTGTAAGACCTTTAATTGTTAGATATATGATGATGTATATCTTACAATTCTCACATTCATTTTAATAAATATTTAAATTGTTTCTTTTAAATTGTTAAAATAATTTATTCCCAGTCTAACTGGATTCAACAAATTCGATACTTTGAACATAAAAAACAAGCTTGCATTTAAATTATTTGGATACTTGGTGATCCCTGAATCCTTAAATTTACAAATTTGAATTAAAGCAATGTCAAAAAGCTGTTACGTATTCTGAAAATGAAATTCTTATACACTTTTAGTTTAAAAGAATGTATTTTTGTGGGTTTGCTTCATATAAATGCTCTGAATCACAGGATTATAAATAGCTAATATCAAGTGGTTTATTTAATTCGGAGGGGGTCGGTAGTATATACATTATGAGAGTTTGATTTTTCGGAGATTTGTCGGAGAAGAGCAGGAGATGAGAAGTGACGTCATTAATCCGAATTAATCCGAGATAAGTAGATAATCCTAATCCCCAGAGACAATGGTTCTTTTGAAATTGAGACAAGATTATGATATAATTAATCCGAATTAATCCGAAATAAGTAGATAATGCTAATCTGCTGAGACAATGGTTCTTTTGAAACTTAATGATAATGCTAATCACCCGAGACAATGGTTCTTTTGAAAATGAATGATAATGCTAATCACCTGGGACAATGGTTCTTTTGTAATTTGATGATAATGCTAATCACCTGGGACAATGGTTCTTTTGTTGAAATTTGATGACATCATCATTAATGATAATGCTAATCACCTGGGACAATGGTTCTTTTGTTGAAAATTGGTGACATCATCATTAATGATTACAATGAAGCGCAATGAATGTAATGTCAATAGTGTATTGAGAAATTAAACAATTAGATTGCATATTGATTAAGCTTCACTTCAACAAGTGCGTGCCTATTTTAAGAGCAAGCAAGCATATAGAAAGAGTGTCCTAACGAGGTAATAACATAAATAACATTTAGGTTTGTGAGGAACAGCAGAAATATCATCGCCTAGAAACTAATTTTAGCAATACCTCGGGTAAACGTATTCCCCTCGGGATGATACTGTTACTCTGACACAAACCTCTGTTTTATTGAACAGAAGAGGGGTTAGGGAATCGGCATCCATTTTAATGAAATGTCACAAACATACTGATAAAATTTGATATGAAAAATAATTTAATAGCTGCTATACTGTTCACTTGGTCATTGATGCCAGCACTATTAAGTGTTGAGAATTGAGTACCGCTCAAGCCGGTGCTAGGGGGCGTGAGGGATGTTGCACTTATTCATTGTCCCTCATGTACAGACTCAATCAAACCGAGTCTGCAATTCTTATGTAATTTTGTTGTGATTAATGCTTCCGAGGGATCACTTTGTTTCCAGATTTGTATGTAAAAAATAATCAGCAAATAAATAATATACATTTTACTTTTATTTCTCACATAACAATATTACCTGGCTGTTAAAGCTTCCGAGGGATCGCCCTTTCTCCAGATCTTTATACATCACAACAGCAGGTACAAAGTGCCATGTGGCAGCTGTAAAATGTTCACTTCAGTGTTGCTATATTTTTCTGGTTCTTCGGGATCATTGACTCGAGCACTTGAAAGTGTTAAACAAATTGAGTACCGCTCGCTGGTTTCAGGGTGCGTGAGGGATGTTGCACTTTTTCATTATCCCTCATGTACATACTCAATCAAACGGAGTTTTCAATGTTCGTGTAAATTAGTTTTGATTTATTCTTCAGAGGGATCACCCTCTCTAGTAAGCATGTAAGCATTCAGTTCATTATTTATAGCATATGATTCAATACATTCATGCCAATAATGACAGAATATAAACATTTGCAACATACAAAGAAAATTCTTGACCAATTTTGTGAGTATTTCTTATTGAATAATAACAGGATATATGTCGTAAAGAAGTGAGTGCAAAAACGTTTCTAATCGTCTGTTAGTTCAAGTTTAAACAAATCAAAGACACGAGTTCATAATGATACAAAAAAGGTTAAGCTGGTCATACAGGTCATGAACCTCGATACAACGAAAATTGTGACACAAGACATCGAACTATGTTTTAGGCCAGTTTAAATCCAGATATGTGATTGGTTCAGATTAAAGTTATTTTGTAAGTCCTCATTAGT